TATTCCTTTTTATTTTTTATTATTATTTTTATTTATTTAGTGTGTGTGTGTGGCCAGCTCAGCCCACCAGGGGTCGGGGCTGGCTGGCATGTGGTGCTGGGGGATTGAACCGCGGTCCTTGTGCTTTGCTAAGCTTGTTCTAAGTAGGTGCTTTAGACCACTGAGCCATCTCACCAGCCCCCGGTTTGGCATTTTAATGTTTTTTTTTTCTTTTTTTTTTTCTTTTTTCAGAACCAGGAATTGAACTCAGGTCCTTGTGCCTGCCAGGGAAGCGGTTATTCTACTGAGCCATCTCCCTGGCCCCATTTTGGCATTTTAGAACTAGATAAATGCTGTTACTTATTTTTTTGTTTTTTTGTGGAACTAGGGATTGAACTCAGGGCCTTGCGCTTGCCAGGCGAGTGCTTATTCTACTGAGCCATCTCCCCGGCCCCAAATGCTGTTACTTGTAAATGTGGTTTCTGCTTGCCCTCATTGCAGACACTGTGACAGTGCTGGTGTGAGCAGCATTAACAGCATGGAGCTCACTCACCCCTCGGGGGCTGCTTTTTGTTGCGTGGTGCTGGGAACGGAACCTGAGAGCTCTGCCGTGAGAGGCCAGTGCTCCCACTGTCTCACCTCCTGGTCCAGGAGTGGCCTTGAAGTACTTAGCCGCTCCCTCTACCTTAGATCCATTGGCCTTTGAGCTCCATGGCCAGGTGAGGGCTGACAACTTGTGTGCTGAGGTAATTAGTTTCTAATTTATTTGCATATCTTCAAGTTTGGGCTTAATTATGCACCATCGTGTTATATTTTTGTTTAAAAGTACCTATTTGGTATTCATTTTTAGGATGTCTTCTTAGCTTCCTTTCATGCAACTATATGTGTAGTTGTTTGATGTGTTATATTTGTGTGTGTGACAGAGAGAAAGAGAAAAAAAGAGAGAGAGATCCCTAGCTACTTAGGGCAGGGGATGTAGCTCAGTGGCATGGCAAGGGCAAGGTCCTAAATTTGATTTCCAGTACCAAAAAAGCTGCTATTTTCATGTAATTTTGGGGTGGGGGAGTCCTTGGGGTCAAATCCATGGTCTCACACATTTTGGGCAAGCACTCTACCACTGAACTACACCCTGTCGTTAAAGTAATTTTTATTTATTTATTTATTTATTTTTTTCTTAAAGTAATTTTTAAAGAAAAATCTGTGTTCCACCTAAAAACTGAATACCTTACAAAACTGAATTTGAAATAAGGTCTCAAGAAGGAGACCACTGCTGAGGTGAAGCCCCGTGTTTCAGGAGTTACATCCATCTTCACATTCTTCTTTTTTTTTTTTTTCTCTATAATTTTATTGAGAAACAAATAGCAATGAGATAGTTTCAAACCACACTTTTTTTTTTTTTTTTTTTTTAAAGAACCAGGGATTGAACTCAGGCCCTTGC